GATGATTTTATTTGACATTGTTGAATAAAGTTATTGACTATGTCATTTTCAGATGTCCAAGTAGTGAAAAGATTCTGCAATTGTAAACTAATACAACCTTCACAGAATCTATCAGAATATTTTGTCAATTTACACTTGTTGCACTTTTTTGGATTACCCAATTTATCTCTTACACTTTCCAATTCAAACTCATAAATAAACTTTTCTTTACAAAATTCTTTTTCAATTTCAGAAAGCTCCTTGTTTTTTTTGACTAATGAAAAAAAACAATTTTTTCTACTTTCTCTATCAGAATTAGCCAGAGCATCATTATACATTTCATTATGAATTTTAATTACAAACGCCCTTCTTTCTGGTAATATTAATGATATTAACTTATTATATGACATTTTTAAATAAACTATTTTGGAAAAAGATAAAATCCAATTTTTTTCTTTTTTGAAACAAATAATAAATTAGGTGCAACATTATTGGTAATACAAAATGGGATTGTGCAGTTGCGCTCTAGCAACTTTTAATGGGAATGTCTATAATTGCGATCACGGTCACCAATCTGTGGTGGGTTTGAGTGGGAACCAACTTGTCAAGTAATTTCCTCTAACAGCGAAAAAGAGTTCAAACTCTTTCTTTGGTCCAATCTTATGCCTTCCCGAATTATTAATTAGCACAACATTACCTGACGAGAAATGCGATTTATTTATTATTATTATTTCGTTTGTTTGTTTTCCGCGAATTATTAACACGTTTTGTAAAAACTGGCCAATTGGTTCACTATAAATTACGTGAACAACACGAACAGACAGATTCTTGAATTTTATTGGACAATTTATTTGATACACTGCATTAAAATCATGTGATTGTCGGGTTATGAATTGATTTTAAAACCTTTCAACACAAAAAAAAAAAAAAAATGAAAACTCTAAAAAAAAAATGATATGCGATTTGTATAATTAATTACAAAGTTTTTTTTGATTTTGATGATGATGCTATCTGATAATGTCTGATGATGTCATGATGATTGATGATATGACTGTATTATTTAAAATTGAGATTGAGATTTGAATTGTTCTATTATGATGATGATGATGATGATGATGATGATGGTGGTGATGATGGTGATGATGACTGAGATCTTGATGATTTTTTTATCTGTATAAATGTCAGTGAAATATTTCGCAAAAAAAAAAATTTACAAAATAAAAAATTAAAATTAAAATTATTAAATTATTAAATTAATTATTCTTACTACTAAACTGTTATTTCTTCTAAGTCTATTGTATGTCTATAATATTACATTAAATTGCACATTCGTTGATTTTCACTACTTACAGAATGAGCTAAAACTTGATATACTTCATAATCTTCTACGGAAAATTTACCATTATTTGTAATGTTGTTTTTATAACAAGTTTTTTTAGCCGAACAATTATTTGGTTCGTTGAATTGTTTTCTCATATCTAAATCAGTTTTACCAAAACAAGGACCAAAATTTGGATCATCATAAATAGCTTCGTAACCTGGTTGAATTACACTTATTTTCGCATCAAGGTCATCCAAATTGTTGTTGTTGTTGTTGTTGTTGTTGTTGTTGTTGTTGCTATTGCTGTTACCAAAGCTAAACAGAAAACTCTCTCTAGTATATTGCCAACGACTTTTTGCCAAACTTCTCCAACCAATTGGATTATAACCTCCAATAATTTGACCAGTTTCACGTATTTTTAATATTACCACGTTTGGGCCTTTGTTATCGCATAAATCATGAAAAACTTTTGGTGTAAACCCGTTTTCGCTTCCTCTTAATAACAATTTAAATTCAAACTCGTATCTACGATCACCAATGCCACTATTATTATCGTTGCTGATATTAAGATCAAGATCATTGCTATTCTCATTATAATTAGTATCATGATCAAGAAAATCTAATTTGGATAATGGTGGTAACGATGATGGTGATGGCGGTGAATTTTTACTAATTTGGTTAATCCAGGAAGAAATTCTCGAAGCATGTTGAACGTTTATAATATTTGAATTCATGCACATGATGATTGGTTGTCTAATTGGCAATAATATCGTTGAATTTTTACTACTACTATTATTATTACCACTATTATCAAGATTTGTAAAATTGTTGATAATTTGAAGCGTTAATAAATGTTGTCTTAATTCGAATGGTAATAAAATTTTGAAAGGCCAAATACTTTTGTAGAATTCGTTTCCGGAGAATTCTTTAAATCTAATTAAAGGTAAAAATTCTTTTAAAATGTTTTGTAAATATTCTAATTCATTAGCTGATAATTTTGATAGTTCATATATATAATTAGTATTATTAATGTTATTAGAATTAAAATTATTGCTATTGTCATTATTATTATCAAACTTTTTCAATTGTTGAAAACCCCAACTAATCAAACCATTCCAAACTTTTAATTCTCTAATTTGTAAATTGTCTTGTTCTAAAATTGATCCAAGAATAAAGTCCTGCAAATCACCCAAATCTCTTGATGAAAAAATGATTTCGGGATCCCAAACGATTTTATTCAAAAAGAAAACTTGTAATTCGTGAAATGTCGAAATGTTGAAAATATTGTTTAAAAAATAAATGAAGTTTTCTATCAGCCAATCGGATTTTTCATTCGCTAAATGATTTTGTACTTTTGTTAACACTAAATTGTTTATCAATAATAATTCATCTAAAGATATTAACAAATCTATTATTTCATATCCAGTTAAATGATTCATTTTCAAATTTTCTGAATACATGAACCTGAATGTTAATAAGAGAGAGAGAAATCGTTGTGAATGAGAGAAATAAATAAAAAAAATAAATCTGATAATAATTTAATAACGATTTAACAAAATTGAAAAATACTCACTCTAAAATCACATCAAAAATTTTAGGAGAAAAATTTGGTTTTTTAAAAAAGTATTTCCCGTCGTCTTTCTTTGCCCAATTATTAGATAAAGCAATTCTAAAATATGACGATTTCTTAATCAAAATGTGAGAATGAACTAAGAATTTCTTGTCACAAACTTGTATTATTAAATCAGCATCAAAATACTTTAATTCGTTAGTTTTATTATATTCAAATTTTGAAAATTCTTCTTTCTTCATCATCAAATTGTAATTAATTAATTTTGTTAAGGGAAAAAATATTTTTTAAAAAAAAGCAAGGATTACAGCAGAGAAAATTATTTATTTATAAAATGTAGATTTATTTTATCTATCGTATATATTAATATCATATAATGTCTATAACAAGAATTTTTTCTTACTATTTATAAAAAAAATTTATTCTATTGTTTATAAATAAATAATATATTTTTAATCTTTTTTCGTTAATTTAAAATTTTATACATGAATAAATAAATAAATATGCATGTAAAATTTTTTTTTATACAATTGCATTGTTTGCTCAACACAGCTTTTCATCTTTTTTTTTTGTAAAAAAATTTGCCCCATCACATCAATAATAATTATTGACAATAATCAACTTTTTGAAGTTAAACCTAAAATCTAGGTTAACCAATCTTTATGATTACTTATTTATTTTTCTTGAATTTTACATTTACAAATCCCTTTATTCGCTATGATATAAATTGGTAATTGTACTTGACTTGTTATATGCAATATGCAAATATTAATTGACTACATACATATTTTTAATGAATAAAATTATCATAGATAACCTTATAATTTTTAAGTTTTCCATTTATAATCAAAGTAAAATAAATAATGAACACGAGGGAAACACAATTATTAAGAACTGGTTATAACTTGGTCAAGTGATTGATAATCAAATTTGTCGATTTATTATTATTTATATTGTTTATATTATTATTTATATTAATCAATTTAATGTTATTATTTGATGTTTTTATGAAAGAATGATTTTATTTACTATAAACATTTATTATGGCTATGATTATTAATTGCTATATTTGACAAATTTAGATTTTTATAATCGTCCATCAATGATTATGATCAATCAATGACTTGTTAATTTTAAAAATGAATCTAAACCAGATATTTCATTCCCTCTCTCACACATACACAGACACAATTTAAATTTCTAACAATTTAATTAATCTATTATTTATTGATTTGTTTGTATAAATTTTTTTGATTTTTGTTAATTAAAAATGTTTAAAATTAATTAATGTATATTCAAATTCAATAAGTTAAATGTTTCTTTGTTGAAATTTTGTATATACTAAGGGGGCGAGAAAGAATATGAAAAAAAAAAAAAAAAGTTAAAATAACAAATCACCAAAAGTAAAAAAATCAATAGATTTACAAAAATGAATCAACAAATCCTAGTTTCTTTATTTTATTCCTTATTGCTAATTTTTTTTTAATTGCTTCCTTGATTACCACTTGCTTTTGCTTCTTTACTCATTTCCTCCATTCACACCATTCATCTTATCTTTCCATACTTTACACTTTCTTCTTATTGCTTAATTACATTTTTTTGCAAGTAGCCTAATATTATTAACAAATATTTCAACAATATCTCTAAATTTACTTTGTTGCTTTTTTATAATATCAAGTTTTTCTTTATATAAAACTTTTGGATCAATAAATTCAATTTCTAATTCGTGCTTTATACTTTGTAAATTATTGTTATAATTATTATAATTATAATTTTGATACGTTGTTTTCTACATATCATGTGTGTGTTTGATATTATACGACGATCACGTGATCATGAATTATATACATACGTAAATGATTTATTTCAGTTAGTAATTAGTTGATATTAAATTGTTAAATATTATTTTCTTTGCACAACAATAAAGTATTTTTGTTTTTGTCAATATTGATATTATCATTATTATTAGCAAACCTTGGCTTCTTCGACTTGAGTTAAATCAACTTTAAATAATTGATGACAATAACTCATTCGATTCTTTTTTCGTTCAAATACATACTGTCCTCTTGGCATTTCCACTATCATCAACATCAAATAATAATTCGATAAGAAAGAATAATCTTTCAAAATATAAATTGGAAAAATATAAATATACAAACTTGGTTTTTCAATGTTGACAGATATGCGATAATCACAATTGGTTCTTGGTGAATAGATATTTAGATTTGCTATAGTAGTCTTTTGGACAATTTTTCCTTCAATAATCTTTTTTTTAATTTTTTTTTTTTTTTTTGAATGTTATTATTATTATTATTAAAAATATAAACATTTTATGTATTATTTTATTTGAATTACTTTTCCATGTTCATTGGTTGTTACTCTGATTTTTCCTCTATCTGTTTCATATATTCTATCAGTTTCATGCAAGTGTTGATAATTTATTTTTGATCCCTAATGATAATAATGATAATAATGATAATGATAAATATTAATTGCTCGAGTGTGAGAGAACATTATGTGCGAGAGGTTGTGAAAGAATTAATTACGTGGTAATTTAAATTTTGTGTTTGTTCTGTTCTTTGATTCAGTATGTAATTAAAATTTGCGTGTTGGTCCTTTGTTAAATTACTTTCAAACTTTATCCATGATGATTCATTTGGTGAAATTACTATTTAACAAAGAAATGGAATTAAAGAAAAAGGATCATTATAGTCAATAATCATGATCGAAGAAGAGATGTTATTATAATGATTGTTTATAGCAAAAATACATTTACTTACTAGTTTCACACTCTACTGGTAAATTAATTCTTGTTTTCTCTGGATTATTCTTATCCAAAAGTAATCCTAGTTTGGCTTCAATCTTTTATTTTAAATATTAATAATAATAATAATAATAATAATAATTAGTAAATAATTAATAAATAATTAGAAAACATAATACTAATCCATTCATACATTCATTCAATAAATCAATACCTCTAAATGTTCTATGTTTTCTGAATTAAGTTGATTATACAAAAAATCACTTAAATATCTTATAAAATCTGAATGTGGTTGTACATTGAATATTGATGGCTCCAACTTTCTTTGTACTTCTAATAATCTTTGATCAGACGAAGGTGATGATGTCGACGATGTTGATGATATATTTGAAATATTTGAAGCATTTGATTCAATGGAATTTTTGACTTTAATGGATTTAAAATCATCATTAATTTCGTTGATAATAGTGGTGTTTTCATTATCAGGATTATCATTCTGACTGTTACTATTATCCTCTTCACATTCTTCCCCTTCTTCTTCTACTTCCACTACTTCTTCTACTTCCGCTTCTTCATGTTCAATTCTGGGACGTTTTCTTGATACTTGTGAAGAAGACATTTTATTTTTTTATGGTATTCTTATTAATATTAATATTAATATTAAATATTAATAGTAATAGCAAAAATTTTTGAATGTCTCTGTGATACATCATATCTCGATGCGTGTAACATTAAATAAATAGAAAGAAATTTTTAGAAAGAAATCGATCGTATACACAATTTTTTTTTTTTTAAACAAAAAGACATGTCCCACGAAGTGCACTCTGCTCAATCTAACAAAATCAGTGAAGAAGAACAAACTTCAATTAATCAATTAAAAGAGAAACTTTCTGAAGTGCTTAAAGATGCAGAGTTACCTGACGACTATAAACTTTGGGGTATAACCTTATCCACCACTTCTACTGATCAAAGACTTGATGTAATTCTTTATAAATTCTTGAAAGCAAGGTAATTACATTTATACTTGCATACACATAAAATATAATTTAATAAAGCAAACTATATATATATATATATTCATTACGTTAATAGGCGTTTCAATCTGGATGAAGCAAAAGAAATGTTGACAAACTCATTGAAATGGCGTAAATCATTTAAAACGGACACGATTCTGGACGAGAAATTCCCGGAAGACCCATTTTCTAGGATAGGTATAATCCACAAAACCGACAAGTTAAATCGTCCAGTTACATATAATTTTTATGGTGGATTGGATAATCAACAAGTTTTTGGCGATTTGGATAGGTTTTTGAGATGGAGAATTCAATTGATGGAGAAGGGAATCCAACGTTTGGATTTCATAACAGTAGATCAAATGTTACAAGTTCATGATTATGATCAAGTTAGTTTGAGTAGTTATAGAACTGCCAAAGTTGCTAGCAAATCTGTTACTGAAATAATGCAAAACCATTATCCTGAATTCTTGGTAATTTTATTAAAATAATTTTTTTTTTTAAAAAAAAAAAAAAAAACTTATTCTCTAACTAATTGGATATTATTTATTTTTAGGCTGTAAAATTTTTTATTAATGTTCCTTGGTGGGGAGATATGATGTTTAAATTTATTTCATATTTTTTGTCAGAAGAAACTAAAAAAAAATTTATAGTGACATCTAGTGATGTTAAAAATAATTTATTATTATATATTACCGAAGAAAATATTCCAAGTAAATATGGTGGTAAAAGCGAACTTTAAAATGTTAGTTATTATTTAATAAATAAAAAATAAATATTTAATAAATATTGTATGCTATGCAATGTAAATTTACAATTAACGCACGTGAAAATTAAATCAATTAATAAAAAACCCATATTTAGGTTTCAAATCTCCAATTAGGATGATTATCACATAATTCTTCATCATAACTTTCTACACTATAATCCACCTTCCCTATTCCTGACCCAAAATTACTTTTATTGGTCAAACTAATCGAGTTTCGTTTTTTATTAATGTTATGTAATATGAATTTCATTAATAAAGCCAGAGCTATATTTAAACACGAAAATGCCAACAATATCGAATGACCACGTATAAATTTTGGTGAATCATCTGCTCTATACACTTGACCTCCTATAATTCCTCCGATTTGTCCCACACCGACTATAAAAGCTATTGCTGCATTCTTTCTATATTGTCCAACTATAAATAAATAAATAAATAAATAAATAAATAAGTAAAAATCGATTTTTTTAAATTAAATGAAAAATTATATATAATACTGACCAATATTATTTATAAACCAACCAGTGAGAACTGGAAGGTATGAAAGCGCTCCGGTGATAACAATACAAAATAATATATATCTTGCCGTTATGTTTGCTTTAACCGGCTCAACAAAAATCAATCCAAGGATTCCAGCAATCGAAACCAGCCCGGGTCCAACAATATGTAAGCCACGTTCATTATATCTATTGCTTGACCAAGCAGTAAAAAATATTCCCATGGTACCTATTATAAATGGTGGCGTTGATAATGCCTGTGCCGCCAATGTATCAAACCCTAAATCTCTGATGATTGACGGTGTAAATACTAGGAGAGAACTGGAGATTGTCACTGTTAAGATCATCATTAGCGTATAAATATAAATCTTATAATCGGTGAAAACACTGATTAATTGTTTCTTTGTTAATTCACTTGATAATTTTTTTGAAGAAGAAGATGATAATTTTAGTTTTTTTTGAATTAACGAGACTTCTTCTTTTGATAAAAATTTAGCGCTTTCTGGATTTTTAGGAACAAAAAAAAAAATCAATGCCACAACTATTGTTGGAAATGCTTCTATGATAAATATCCATTGCCATCCATACAATCCTGCATATCCATCCATTTGCTCTATACCGTACGCCTATATAGGGAAAAGAAATTTATAAAAAGAAAATTTAATTAGAAAATAATATTAACTTAATCCTACCCTCGCCCTCTCCTTCTCGCTCGGATCACTTAACTGCAATACCACCAAATGCACCGGCAGACATAGCCATGCCAAAACAAAAGGCAACTCTGACGGTTAGCTCGTAAGGATCATACCATAGTGTTAAATAAAATAAGAAGCCAGGAGTCAATCCCGACTCAAAAATGCCAATCAAAATCCTCAAGACATATAGTTCTGCAGCGTTAACGATAAAGGCTTGAACCAATGAACAAATAGCCCACCCGATCATTATAATTGGAAACCAAAAATTGATGCCAATTTTTTTTGTCATTATATTTGATGGGATATCAAATAACACGTATCCAATATAAAAACACGAGAGTGCATTGTTAAAATCCGATTCATTTATTCCCGTATTAGCTACAAAACCTGCTATTTTCGCATTGCCAATATTGACTCTATCAATATTACCCAATAAATATGCTATTGTAACTAATGCTAAAAAGGTTGTAAATTTAATGAATTTAAATTAATTGGTTTATTCATTGATTAAAATTAAACAATGCAACAATTTATTTATTATATTCGCTCACGTATAATTAATAAATCTAATTTCCATAACAGTTTTCTTTCAAATGAACGATCAGTTTCTAAACCTTTCTCGAGTGAGGACGATGTATTGGTTTTATTATCATAGTCAAAATTTACGGTAACCATTTTATCATCATGTTTTCCAGACATTTTGATAAAAGCTATAATTGAACGATAAATTTTTTTTTTAACACATAAAATCGGGACTATTTATTTATTTACTATGATCAACAAAAAATGTCGTTCATTACTCGGGAATTTAACGTTTAACCTTTGCTGTTTACACTCATTATGAGTAAATTTTATTTTTGTGTTTCTAATTATATGATGAAACTTTGAATGAGGAAATTAAAAATCTTGCGATATATTTAATCTGCAGTGCGAGCGATTGCTTCATTAAGGGGGGTTACACTTACTAAAACCCACGTGTCGATCATATTCACTAATCTGCATTTCATATATATATGCAAAGATATACATTTTTTGAACCAATAAAAAAATGACAATACAAGGAGTTTTGTTTGTTAATTCGAAAATTTAAGGTCATTTTCTCAAAACTAATATTAATATGAAACATGGTCAATGTTTAATATATCAATCTTTATTACTTTAATTTTATTAACTGGTTTACAGTTATAAAAACCAATTATTTGGCCTCGCCTATTTTTTAAAATAAATTCAGCAAAACCTAGACTTTCGCGAGTTGAAATTTCCAGAAATGTTAATGTGTTATTTTTTATTGGTTGTTGTTATGAAACAATTGATATTATTATTTTCTAAATTGAATAAATAATTTGCGTATAATAACGAGCTTTAAATTAATTTGTGGAAATCAAAAGGTTCACTATAACAATAGGCTAATAAAGAAATGTAAAAGATTCGCACATTATAGACTGTGTGAACATTGCGGGAAAGTTAGTAAATTATAATTGTATCAATATAGTAATGATGTTTTATATAGGAATTAATTCACACCAGATCCATTATACAAAAATAACACGGGGAAAGTTTGTTCTTTATATTATAAATTCATAGATACTCAAATGTTTGAAGATTACCTAAGGGGTGAGAAAAGAAGAATCATAAATCATAACTAATTAACTCGAAACCATAAAGAACTTATAAAGAAATAAAAGAAAATCGGAAGAGGAATAATTAGAGATGTGCCGCGCATAATGTGTTACGCTACGCATGTGGTTTTAGATATATTTTCTATAATTTACTTATTAATATATGCGCATTTATAATATTTCCCTCTCTATAATATATATACACTATACGCGAAAAAAAATCACGGTTACTATGAATGGCACATCTATAGGAATAATTTACTTGTCTAGCTTAATATAAGTGAGTGTATATTACCTTTTAAGTATAAAATATATTTGATAAAAAAGAATTGCTTGAGTTTTACTTTTATTTCCTAAATTTGCTGTCTCCAATTCTCCAATTTTTTGGCCAATTGTCATTCTCCCCATTCTTGAGACTTCAAAGCGAGTTTCAGTATCCAATTTTGCTTCTTCAGCTTTGTTACTAGGTTTGGTAAACCATGGATCTCAGCGTAATCTTTAAGAAAATTCTTTACAACTGTAACAACGCTTTTGTCAATCGTTATCTTAGATTTCCATTGTGGCATCCTTTTCGTATTGCTATGAACTCTTATACGAGACCATTGTTTAACATGTGATTACTGATATTCTCAAAGTAAGTTCTACCAATCCATAGCATATTAAAATACTTATCGGCCCATTATCCATTGTTTTAAGCTGTGCCATCAAAATCTGTCATGCTCTGATTTAAAAAAAGCTTGAAAGAATTTGCAAATTCACTCTTGGGAATAATTGATGAGCAACGATAATCACAACCTTTCTCTAAAAAACCAATTACCTTTTCATTCATATTCATTAAAATCATTGCTTTTCATATACATACAGTATAGCCATATATATAATTTTTTTATTCACGTAATTTTTTTAATATCACTAAAATAATTAATCATCTTGCCAAAAAATCAAAAAATACCATTCTAATTGTAAGTTAGTCTGAATTTAACTTTGCCTTTGTAGTTATAAGGCACATGTTGTAAAAATGAATTTCAAAAGTACAATTTATCGAATATACAATTATTTGTAATTCCAACAATCTCTTTAATGAAATTTTTTCCTAGTTAATATTCTCTTCCGCCATAGAAGCCACTATGATATAAAACTTATTGATATAATATGTTTAATTCATTCGTTCAGGTCATTGTACAATTCACCTAAGGCTCTGAACGATTATTCAAATTCAAAAAACCGGCTAACATGCTTAAGTCCAGACCAATAATATTTCCATACATTTAATATATAAATGGAAGGTACATTCTTCCATATCAGCATTAGTATGTATTTCGTATCGGGTATGCATTCCGTATTAGTATCAAAAATACGTTTTTTCCGTGTGTATTCTATTCAGTACTAGTATCCTATGCATAACTAATTATTTTTAAAAAAATTTGCTGAAACGAGGTTTGGCTGAAGTTGCCTTATTATAGTTATAAGCACATTTTTATTTTTAACATATTACGTATTAATATAATAGTAATGTCAATTTAAAAATCCGATTTAATTCGGATCCGGAAATTGCCTCTCTTAATATTAATATTTCTAACATTCTTAGTCTGGACAATGAATAATGTGATCTACATTCCAATGAGTTATTATTGTTTTTGAAACTTTATTTCAAAATACTAGCCAAAAATGTCCGCGTAAAGAATTACATGTATGAACGGTTAAATTTACCTTTTTCACATCATGATCTTTTCTATTCAGGCCCCTTACACGGCTTTTTTAATACGGGGAAACGACTATTTAAGCACTAGCATTGGCCTAATTTATTAGTTTCAAGTAATCGACACGAGATTTGCCGAATTATTTATGTGCATTGATCATGTATATCAAATCGTGTTAATATATTTTTATATATTAGTCTTAGTATATATATTGATTCATTCGAAGTATAAATATTCCCATTTTATGTTATTATTATTATGCATATCGTCTATATAAGAAATCGGAAAAACCCTTAACAAATGAACTACATTCAATAAATACACCAATTGAAACTTTTGAATGGTTATCATTTCTTCTTTGAGAATTTGGACTTTTTTTTTTATTACTTTTATTTTTATCCCTTTTACCAGGTTTATTATCACCTTATTTGCACAAAGGACAAACATCTGGACAGCCAAAGAATTTATTAAAAAATTTTGTATTGTTTTCTTTCTCGTAATATCTGCTCTTGCATCACATACTATTTTTAAAGATCTGTCTGCAAACTAATATATTTTATATTTTAAATTATCAAAATCTGAGTAATATATTGGTAGGGTAAAGGTGTAGTTGTTAATTCTTGAAATTATGACTTTTATTCATATACACAGACAGTACCTTTCGATATAAGAAAAATAAGCATGAATGATATGCATTAAACATATTAGTGACGACATAATATGAAAAAACAAATGAAATAAATAGGCGAATGGGTAAACAAATAATAAATAATCAAAGAAAAAACAAGTTAGTAAACAGTGCAACAAATAATCATTCAAATGGATAAATAAATAAAACGAAATGGAATGAATAAAAATTAAATTTTTTTAGAGTATTTGTTCGCAATCTTTTTCTTTACTCGACTAAATAAATGAATCCCGTAAAATTTTCATTTTTCTCTTCCAAATTTTCCTTCTCTTTTCCAATTCTTCATCCACGTCCAATCTCTCTGCCTTCCCTTTCAATTCTTCTTGGCATATTCAATTTTCTCAACAGTGGCCCATTTTTTAAGTAAAAGGTTCGTAAATTGGCAAGCATGAAAAATTAATTATTTTTATTTTTTGTTGTTGTGTACATATTTATTCAGCTTAAGATTTTTCAAGCTTTATTTTATTCACTTTATCATAGATCTGACCCTTATAGGTTTATATTGAAGCATGAATTCAAGAAAGAACCCAACCAACAACCACAAAAAAAATTTTTTTGTGGTAAAAGTAAGCAATTTTGTTAAATGTTGTTTTTTCTAAAAAAAGTTATAGAAAAGACAATTGTAAAAATGTTTGCAGTTTCATTTTTCAAATTTTATAGTTTTCAATATTATTTTTTATTTCAAGTTTTTGTTAATATCGATCGCCAAAAACTTCTTTTACCTATTTATAAATTTGACTGTTAAAAATAAATTGAACAAAAATGTTCTTGAAAAAGTGTTGAAATGTGAATAATCTTTTTGCCACCAAATTTGATCCGTGTAATTCCCCGCGGACATAATAACTAGATTACGACGAGTTTAAGTTTGGTGATAAATCACATTCAAAAATATTTACAATATCACATTTTGACAAAACACTCTAGTACAATTATGATGATGTTCACACTTAAAAATTTTTCTTTCCCCTTGACAATATATAACAAGTTTTGATTAAACTTTCTTTTAACAAACAGGAATTTGCTATTTTGGATATTTTTGGTAAAATATTCTCTATTGAATTTCTTTTCGCTCAACTATAAAAAAGTTTCTGACTCGCCGAAGCGAAACCTCAAATCTTAAATGTTTTGGTACAACCATCATGTATAGAAGTTTTAAAATAAAATGATTTTGGAGGCAATCACATTCAAGTTTTCTTTCCATGTGAATTAAAGTTTAAACATTATTTACTATTAAAGTTTTTCTTGTGAATCGTCTTTATTTTTTAAAGTTAATTATTTATCAGCAACATTACACCATCTTTCTTTCAGGATTTTTTTTTTGATTTCGATCATCATTACCATCGATCACTCCAGATTAGAGATTCCAAGTTACACGAGTATTAAATAAAAAAAATCAAGTTTCCAACCAAGTATAATTTGTTTATGACACTTTATAATAACAATAAATAAATAAACGTTGAGGTATAATTGAATCTAATTAGCTCATTAGAGAAATCAACTTTACCTAATTGAAGAAGTGCAAGTTTCCTTTTGGATCAAGAACTTGTTGAGATTTTTAGTAATAATAAAAGGGTAAAATAATAATGATAATTCATGATTTGTGTTTTTCTAAATTAAATTATCAAGGAGAAATATAAATAGACTCGTTTGTTGGTAGTAAGGATCCGACTGGCTTTTATAAAAACTTCAACCCTGGAATATTGTCAGGCGGAGTAAAAATTAAAAAGAAGGTTTTTTGCATAATCTGCGATTTATAATTTCAAAACATAATGTGAAAGTAGCTTATTCTGATAATGAAAATGAAAATTAATGCCAACTATCCATAATTGGAATTATTCCAAACAATAATAGTTGTCAATTGAATTATTTCAAGACAGTGAAGGTAATGAATGAATTAAAGTTTTCTTTTTTTGTAATTTCAAACATTTTAAATTTAAATCCATATTTATTATCATCATCATCATTTTCGCAAAAATTTTTTTTTTTAAAAAATATGAAAACAATTCTTTGATGGCTTTCGATTTTCTTTCAAACTTCAATGTCACACAAATAAAGATGGAAACCGCAATTAATTGAGGAGCCATTTTTGCTCACTGGAGTCGGCTTTTTTTGGATGATAGATATTTAACGAAGCACTGTATGGATATCCAGAAGGTACCACCAAACCCCACTTGAAGATCTATAATTCATATTATTTTCCTTATTAAAAAACACCAATTCGGAGAATTATGCATTATACATAATAATAAAAAGTATCAAATATAGTAATTTTTTTGGACTATCTAATTAATTTAGTATACATCATTTATTGCGCGTTACCATATCCCAATTTGCGATTTTGTTGTTTTTACTTTAATTTTTTCAAAAAATCTATCGACCAAACACAAATAATGAGTTTTAAAATATTAGTTTATTATTGATTATAGCATATTATGGTTAATACAACTTGTGTCAAGAATATGAATATAAAGAAAAAGTTGTAAAATAAATAAATTATTGTTATTATTATCTACAATGGTTATGTTTAAAGATGTAAAAAAGAAAAAAATTACTATTAATAATAATGAATATTTTGATAAATTATTTATTAATGATGTTATTAATCATTGCTGTCAGTTCGAACTGTCGATTAAATATATCTTGAAGTTGCTGGCGACTAATTAATATTTGATCATTTTGACAATTATTAGAATTTTGAGAGCTTTGATGGGTAACGTTCATAATGTTGTTATTGTTGCTTATTGGACCGGCAAATATGTTTTGCTCAATGATATTATTATTACTGACACCCGTTGGAATTATATTGTTTAGACTGACAGAATTACTGTTAAAGGAGCTTTGTTGAATGAAATTATTATCTGCTGAATTTTCATGGGTGGAATTAATTGAATCAACGTTTTGATGGAGATTATTATTGTGGTTTTGAGTAGAAGCCAAGAATTGATTAGTGATATTTGTTTGTCCACTTGAACGAGGAACAAGCCTAAGGTGTTGATCATTAGAATCAATACTGTTATTATTGTTGATATCGTTACTCATTTTTGTTATTTTTTGTTATTTTTATTATTTTTTTGAATTTATGGAAATCGGTTTTTTGGTGTTTTTTTATGTGAATAAATTGTTACACAATTCATTTTTGTAGTACAAGTAATTTATTGTTCTGACTATTTTATTTTCAAAAAAACCCTATTTTTTATTAAGACAATTTTTAAATTCAAAAAGATTAAACATTTTTGGAGTTCATTATGTCGTGAGTATGTATATTTGTACATTTGAATAAGTATTATTTGTGGTTTCTTGGTATTGTAAATAATGATTGTTACACAATTCATTTTTTACCAACAGGAATATTCTGTTCTAAACTTAATTTTTTTTTAAAAAAAAAACCCCATTTTTTATTAAAACGATTTTCAAATGCAGAATATTATTTACTAGTTGGTTTCTTACATTGTACGAACAAACACATCATGTAAATAAATATGCTATGTGCTGAACTTTTTATGGATATTTCGATTTCAAAGATAGCCAAAAAAGGGTAATATTACATTTCAATGGTGATAATTTTCAAGTTTCTGTGACGGTTTATTAACATGTGTCTATGAAAAAAAATTTTTTTTTCATAAAATTCATGACAATTTGACAATTTCAAATATTCATTCCAATAGAAAGAAAAGAAAAATATGTTCAACTTTTTTTTTTGTTTCCTGACTGGCTAATTAAAAATTCAAATTACGACTTAAAATTGTATACAGATTTATTCAACTAAAACCACCCACATCTCAACCGATGAATGAACTCATGTGATCCCGGCTATTAATTCAAAGATAAAATCAGCAGAAATGGAACATTGATTGAAATAATTAAACTTAAAGTGACAAGATATGATGATTATTATTATCTTATTATAGGATATTGAAAAAAATGCATTTGCTACATGGATAAACGATCAAAATCAGCACCATATAATACATCATTATCGACAACAACTACAACATTGCTATTTTATTTTCACTATTCACAACTGGAAAAATTGTGTACAAATTTTGCACATTATTCATTTAATATTAATCTCAGATGTTATTATTATATGTACAATAAATATTCAAATGTGTGCCTAGTTTAGTATTAGACAATTGTAGGTAACAGACATATAATATTAATATGCACAATTTGCAAATTTAAATAGTAATTTGCATATACAGTAACATCAAAGAATTTTCAAATGAGATAAAAACTATTTGATTATTGTTACCTTTAAAAGCTAAATTAAATAATTTCAATTTATGTTATGTTTTCAATATTCTCAAGAACAAATTGAAAAACTAAAAAAATACTTATGAAATTTCATATTTTTAAAACAATGACTGCGACAATTCATCCAAACCAATAGATTATTAATTAGAGTGAATTCCAATTCACTAGTGACCATAATGAGAATGAGAATTATTAACATATTAATTATAGCGTACAGTTGAATTTTGCCACATGCAAACTTGAAATAACAATGCCAGACATACCAGCAAAAAATAGATATAAATTGATGAGAAGTACTGGTTTATTTAATTAATACACTTTGAATTGTATATTTGATAAATAATAATTGATCTTCAAATATACAGAATGAAATATACAGAATGAAATATACATTGTGACAAAAAATTTAAGGCTAATATTATTGTTTACAATAGAAGTAATGTAAATTTGTATATGAAAATAATATAAATATCTATAAATGTCAAAATCATAAGGAACAGAGAATGAATTGAAAAATCTTGTGAACTATCTGAATCATAAATTATTTCTAATTTAGTTTTATTTTTATTTCGTTTAAAAAAGTTTTCTCGGAATATTTAGCAATATGTTCATCCACATATGACATCTTTTCCCTCTTAAATAATGTTCGTTTTGTATGTTGGAATTGAATGCAATTTCTGCATTCAAAGTTGATATGTGTTTCTTATATAATTTGTATCCATTAATTTTTTGAATTTGTATCTTTCTACTACGTGGCCTTTTAGGCCACAATGAAGACAGTATCTATTTATTTCGTCAACTTCTGGAGAGTAATATTTTTCAAAGTAATAATTTGGATTTGAATTAAAGTAATTGAAAATTAAATCAACTGTTTTTGAACCAAAACAAAATTTGAGAGTAGATATCTTTAATATTATTATTAATCACGATTCATAGTGTGCATGTATTTATCCTTTTTTTCATGATTGAATTTTTTAAAAAAAAATGAATATAATGAATGGATTCATTTATTAGCATAATGGACATTTGATTTCATTGGCTAAATTTTGTGACGATCTCCCTTCCATATATCACGCAAAAATTAAATT